TATATTTTAAAAAAATAAGCCTTTTATTATTTATTATAAATATATTAAAATTAAATAATTTCAATAGAGTTTTGCTATTAGGTAGTTCTATTTAGCTATTAGGGTAGTAATCTATTTTTATCTAGCCCGTATAGCTAATTAGAGGCTACTAATTTTTAATATACCTTCCCTAGCCTACCTCTTATACTTACCGTACGGGCCTAAGCTTAAAATACCTACTTTAACTTAATACATTATTAATACGTACTACTACTAATTATATTTTTACCTACCTACTTCTACTTCTTACTTAATTACTTACTTACTTTTTAACTTACTTTTATTTATAACGTAATTACTACTTTTATTTTTAACTTTAATTACTATATTATCGCTACTACGTAGTTAATTAATAATAAATTTATTATAACTTTTAATATTAGTAATTAATTTAAAAACTCTTATAATATTACTAATATTTTTCTATATATTAAGAACTTATTAAAACTGCGCGCTTATTAATTTAATTAATCGCTTTACAATTAACCTCTAATTATTTATTTATAACTACGGCTTTATAATTATTCATTATAATAAATCTAATTATATTAATAGTATAGTTACTTATTATATTTTATAATATAATTATAATATTATTTATTAGACCCGTATTATCGGCCTTTATTAATTAAAAATATAAAAGTTAGCTACCTTTAATAAAATATAATTATTATTTATATTTAAAACGAAAAAAATAAACGTTTAGAATTAAAATAGAGATTATAATTATAACTTATCCCTTTATTTATTAATTTATTTTATTTATTATTAACTTTTTCTAACTAAACCGCCCTTATTAATAGCTTATTTAAATATAATATTATTAAACTTCGCAAAATCTTTATAATAGTCCGCAATTATATACTTAATATATTATTATATTTTAAATAAAAAACGTTTATAATAAGTAATAAAAATAGTACTTTAACTATTTTATTAATAAGACCCTATTTAAATAATTTTTATAATATTTAAACCCGTAGCTTTTATTATTACGTTTTATAAAATAAAAAAACTTAAACTTATTTAAAGCTATATTATAAACTTATTTATAATATAAATAAATATAAAAGTACTTTTTATAAATAGTTAGCTTTAATAATATATATAAAATTAATAAGTTTAAAATACCTTTTTTAAATTATTAGTATTATAAATACTAGCTTATTATTTAATTATACTTTTATTATTATTTTATTAGAACGCTACGAATTATATAACTTTTTATATAATTATTTAATATAATTATATAAAAATAAGAGCTAAAGTACTATATATAACTATTATTAACTTCGAAAATACCCTATACTAGCCTACTTAAAATCCTACTTACTATCTGACTCTACTCTAACTTTATATTTTTATATTAATATAAATATAAACCTGAATATTAAATATAAATAGCTAAGTAATAGTACTATAAAAGTTTAAGATAAGTTTAATATTAATAAGGATAAAGAATTTATTAAAGCTTTTATATTAGCTTATAAAAGTAAAAAGTTATTATTACCCTCCTTTATAACTTATAAATTATAATACTTAATAAGATTTTATATATTAATAAATTATTTATTACTTAATAGCTCGAAGTTATTAAGTTTAAGTATATATTTATAGGCTTTTATTAGCTATAAGTATACGTATTTTACGTAAATTTAGAAGTTAATTTTAATATTACTTAAGGAAAGTTATAGCGGATTTTATTAACTAGATTTTAGTTTTTATACTTAGCTAATACGTATATCCCTTTATTATTAATAAGCCTAATATTTTATTAATAAATATAAGAACTTTAGTATATATACGAACTTATTTACTAAGACTACTTATAAAAACCTAAAGTTTTATATTATTACTAATTATATAAACCTCTCTACTATTCTCTAAATAATTAACGAAATACTAACTAATAAAAAAGAGGGTACGTTATATTATTATTATAGAATTTTATACTTATTATAAATATCTCTACTAGTTATAATTAAGTAATATAATTAAATAAATAAAATATAAAGCTCTAAATTTTATAGTTTATTAATACTAAATTATTTTTATTATAATATTATTACTTAATAATAAGAACTTACCCGGTCTTTAATTTTACTATAAGCGTTTTATAAACTAATATAATCTATTTTATAGCTATAAGATCCTCGAAATTTTAAAAACGTTTAGAAGTTAGTTAATAAAGTATAATATTTATTTATATTAATAGCTTAAATAGCCCTTAATATATTAATCTATTTTATTTATAAAATATATATTAACTTCCTTAAGATCTTAATAATACCTAATATAAATTAAAAATCCCTGTATTATAACTAGTTTATATAAGTAATTATATAATCAAAAATTCTAAATTTAATATTTATATTTATAAATAATATCTTATTATTAAGTAACCTCCTATTAAATAGCCTCTTATTAAATAGCTTATTATTATTAAATAAATAGTTTAAATAGCTTTATAAAATTATAAACTTAGCCCTATAGCTAGTAAAATAAGTATTTATTATAAATATTTAGTATTTAAATATAATATAAAGGACGAATTAATAACTAAGCTATTGTAAGAGATTATTTAAAACTATATTATAATTAAAAAAATATTTTAATATTAATAAAACGTAATAAACGTTATACTAAGTAGCCGCTAGTATTTATAGTACTAAAGAATCTCTAATTTAATTAATTAATTAATAAGAGGCCGTAATTAAAAATAGTTTTAATAATTTTAAAAAAATTAAGATTTAACGAGATCTTTTGATTATTATAATAAAAACTAAAATAATTTTTAAATTATATTACTTTATATAAGTAATTAGAAATAATCTAAGTATTTAAGTAAAATATAGGTAATTATATTAATTATAACTAATATAAGATGCGGGCTAAAAAAACTCTACTAATCTATACACTTTAATTAGTTAAAAAAGTAAATTACTACCCTAATAGCCAAATAGTACTGCCCTAATAGCAAAAGTCTTTCGATATTATATTTTTAAAATATTCCTAAGTACGTTATTCCTAAGTACGAACTTTATTTAGATTAAGGCCTAGTTTATTAATAATAATAATAATATTATTTTTCATTAATATTATAATAATAATTATTCGTTTTATAAGGGCCTTTAATATTTAATAAACTAATACGTAATACGTAATTAAGCTATTATATTATTAAAATTAAACTATTTATTTTATACTTCTATTTTTATTAACTACTCGAGTAGTTCTTAATATCGGTTATATAGTATTAATGTATAATATTAGTAAATATTCTTACTATCTTATCAAACTATTTTTTATAATTTTTTATTTTTTTTTTAATTTTCCTCTTATAATAAAGTTTATAATCACGGATTAATAATAATATTAAGCGTAGGATATTATTATTTTATAAACCTATTTAGGTAAGTTTATAGCCCCTTTAAGTAATAATAGCTTATAATAATAATATTAAAATACCCTTATTACTGTTAATAATACTAACCTCTATAAGTACTAATATTTAATATATATTAACTCTTATATATATATATTCGTTACCTCGTTTCTTTTATTAAAATTAAAAACGCTTTCCTTATTATTAATTACTATTATTATTAAATTATTTACTTATTTTTAAATATATATTATTAAAATACTAAAGTACTTAGAACTTATTAACCCCTAGGGCTTTTTAATAATTAAAAGTTCGATTTTATAAGTATTATTTTAAAAACCCCGAAGTATAATAAGGTCGTTTTAAAAATATAAACTAAATACTATTAATTTAAAATAAATATATTAATATAAGTATTACTCTTATTAATACTTAATTTATATATTATAATTAGAATTTTAAAATATTTAACGGATTTTAAAGTATTATTTATATTTTGAAATTATAATATAAAAATAAATTAAAAAGATAAAAAAACTTTAAAGTTATTAAATAGGTTAAAATAAAAATAGTTTTTAGTTATTTAAAAGCAATTAATATATTATATTATTAGTAATAATTTAAACTATATTAATATTAATAATTATAACTAATTATTATTAATTATAAAGTTTATTAAGTAATATATATAATAAAAACTCGATATTAACCCTTATAAACTAGCTTATTTATAGGGTAAAATTAGCCTTTAATAACGGGCTAAACCTTAAAAAGTAAAATTAAACTATATTAATAATAACTAGAGGAATAAAAAAGTATTATTATTAAATTAAGTTAATTAAAAATAAAGTTTATAAATAATAATAGCTTATTAGCTTAGAGTAAAGAGTATTAATAAAAACGATTATTAAAAATTAAGTAATAAAGTACTTAGTATTTAATAATAATATAATTATTATTTAAAAGTTTAAAAAGTTAAAAGTTAAAAAGTTAGTAGTATATAATTTTAAAAAGTTATTAATAAAGTAATAGTAAGTAAGTGGGCCGTTATAAGAAAATAGTTACGCTTTTATTAATAATTGCCCTTAGTAAATTATTATAATAGCTAGAGGCTATATGAGGGTTTATAAAGTAATTACGTGCTTAATATTATTATTAAAAAGAAAAATTAATAAGTACTTTTATTTTAAACTCTATTACGAGCCTTATAAAATCTAGTTTTAGAGCATAAGTTAGTAGTTAGCTTAATTATATTTTGTTTAAGGAATCTAGACTATCATAAGCCTAGGCGGCTACTAAGTGTAGTAGGTAGGAGCTAATAGTATAGACCTCGCCCCAAGACGTACTCAGATGCAGCCTAGCGAGTGTAAGCGCGGAAGTGCCCACTTGATGGGAAGAATTCACAAGGCTAAGTAGATAGCTGAGCAAGCCAAGTCAGCGGATATCACAATACCCGCCAGATCGCCACGTCAAGAAGAACTCAATTAGGTTAGGCTCGGAAAGTAGTTAACAGGTGCTGTTGGATGCGGGGTTTCGAACCAAACTAAAGCCAGCCGCCTCGTCTTAATCATCCGTGCAAAGTCACCAGGGATGGAGGGCTTCACAAGCCTTTTTCGCCGTGAAAATGAGCGAGAGATTCAACCTTATTTTGAAAGCTTTAAAGCCACAGCAGTCATGTCTCTACCGTTGGTTTTGGCACCCCAACCGCCGTCTTCATCATTCATGGCCATCCCTTCAACACTCCATCGTCCAGCTACTGTCCTCAACTAAACAACACCATGGTTTATTCCTGGGCACTTATTGCTTGTGCACTCTGGTCTATGATTGCAGCTTCGCCAATTAGTTCCGACGCGGCGACCTTGCTTGCCCCAAGATCCGGTTCTGCTAAGACCGGTAAATGCTCACCGGGTTGCGTCAAACGAAATTTTGTTTTCACGTAGGCATCTTAGTTCTGGAACAACAGACGCTGTAGCCCCCATTCCTTTCATACGAACACTGACACAGTCGCTCTACAGAGGTCTGCCCTGGAATCATCCTGCTATCGCAGCAAGTGGATTCACTCCCAAACAGGTGGAGGCCGGCATTCGGGCAGACATGGCAGCAATTATAAAGGCTGGCTATAACATCAAGGGTGTGCTACCTTTTCCATAACTATGTGATCGTACACTGATATGATCATAGCTGTTCTTCTTGGCCCTGAAGATGGCTTGGACTTCCTCTCAGAAGAGTTGAAGGGTGTAGACTGGACCGGAACAGGTGTTGGTTTCGGCGTTCGGGGGAATCCGACGCCAGTGATCACACGCCGTCTCATGGGTTTGCTTCACCCCCGGGCTGAGCATTGTGCCATGCACTAACCTGCCATACCTACAGACGCTGTGCAACTTTATCGGGATGAAGTGCCCCAGGCTAGGATCTTGTTCAATTATTCGCCAGTCACGTCCCTCTGGGCAATTCAACAATACTATCCTCTCTCTGCAGAATGCTCAAACACCAACGGAACTGATCTGGTAGGTTCATGACCCACCATCTGATGTTTTCGTCACTCACTAGAATTAAAGGGTATTGCGATCCGTTGTCGTGCCTGCTCTCCGTCAGCTTAGTAGTAGGAGACTTAAGTGGGTGATGCTGTCTGAGAGATCGTCTGATGATAACCTCATTTTTCACTGTGGATCATGAGTAGCATCTTGATGTTACATCGACAAATCCTCCAGTCAATGTAAATTTCCCGGCGGCAGACCGGGTCATCACCACCCAAACTTCAAATTGAGCAACATTGCATCGATGGTCATCAATGTATTTGCGACATCAGAACCTCTCGTATCACAATCCGCTAAATTTGGGCTGTTGACCTGTTCCAGATTTTCTTGGAGCATTTAGAATCACCAGAAGAGAGCATGGTTTATTCAAAGCAACTTCGCGTTCTTCCTATTTGACTAGTCCAGAGCTTCGAGGAGCTTGGTGCAAGGGGTCTTAGCCAAGAAACACCTAATGCTCATCGACCATGGCCACAAAGATGCCCAATAAGAGATAAAAGTGTTGGTATATATGTCACCGTCGCCAGTGGCAGCATTCCGATTGAATAACGCTTATACAACCATGAAAGATACCTACTGCTGTCAAGGGGACGCCCACATGAATAGGTAGTCGTGATAGCTAGCAAACCTACTTTCGTCGCGTAGGATAAGTCGAAAGCTAATAGTATCTGCATAAGATCCTCCATCTCACCTTATGAAGACAACCATTGCACGTTGGTCTTTGTGCATGAATCGACTCCGGAGGCTTTGTGACGGCGCGTTCATATAGGCCTGCTAGCAACATTGCGACGCTTCCATTCACTTTTCCTTCTCGGCCATTGGTGGGTGAAGAAGACGGGCTTAGCTGCTCACGTGATTAACCCAAGACTCTGGATAGTCCGTCGACCTAGGTACACTACATTGCCTTGCTTACCTGAGCTACTCCCCCGTGCGGAAAATACTTTCCCCAGACACTTAGACTGGACCGGGCCAAGCACATGCCAAGATACTCAGTTCCTGCTACGGTACTCCGTACGGGGTACGGATACGGATACTTAGGTCGGCTTCGAATGTGTACCCATGGCGGCCGTTCCGCCGTCGCAAAGGGCAAAGTGACCTGTCGCGACCGCGCGGTTCGCCCGGGTACTCCAGGCGTTCGTTCGTAACTCCGCCCGTTGGTAGATGTGGAGACTGACTCGTGGAGTGGTCCTACTCCCATCGCCGTGGGCGCAAGCCATCTGATCAAAACCAGCCCCAGATGCTCAGTCTGACCTTTACATCCATACATACTAAGGTACCTAGGTAATGTACATACCTAGTCCGACAGCGACTGATTGTCAATGCGTCTCGACAAGGGTCAGAAAAAAGTAAGTACTGCCCCGCCCTTAAAAAGTGTTGAATTAACCTTATAGTTTTTAAACCACGTAAGTTACTCTCTTGTAAATACTTATAATAATAATTTAAAAACTATATAATAAGGTTTTCCCAGCTTTATAAGCATAAAAAATCGACCTTAATAAGATTAAGCTTTTAAAAAAAATTATATAATATAATACATCTTTAATATATATAATATATATAATATATCTTAAGCACGTATTTAATATAATATAATAATTTTTATATAAAAACTATTATTTAATTAAGGATAAGTAAGCTAATTTTAATTTAAAAATTAACAATTTTAGTTTTATTAACTTTAATAAATAATAGTTCTCTTAATTTTTCAAATTAAAAATAATAATATTTAAACTTATATTTAAAAATAAAATTATTATTAACGTTTAATTTTTAAAATTAATTACTTATTAAAAATAGTATTTTAATATTTAAATTTTATTTTTAGATATATTTTATATAAAAGTATTAATCTTATAATATTTTATATAATTAATTAAATAATAATAATAATAATATTTATTAAAAGAAAACAGTTTTAAGTAGTTAAATTTCTAGTATAGTAGCTATAAAGAAGTAATAAGGAATATTTTTATAAAAGAATATAATAAGTAAATATTTATATAAAGGTAAGAATATATAAATATAGGGAAAATAAGTATACATAAAAAGGTTTAGGTAATAAAAGAGTAATATAATCAAATTATTATATAAGAAGTTACTTATTTAATAAAAGGTTTAACTAAAAGATACCTATATATAAGTATAAAACCTCCTATTAAAATATTCTACTATTTATTGATTATAATATAATTAATAAGTATATATATAAGTATATACGTAATCGTAATACGTAATACTACTTTAAGTAAATTCTAGCGTATTTTAATACTTTCTAGTACTTTTATAGCTTATATAGTAATATTAATTACGTAATTAATATATATATTAATTTATAATAAGTATAAATTAGTATAATATATTATATACTTACGTAATATAAAGAATAAGGCAAATAATAAAGTAAATAAATTTACTTTTTAATAAAATTAACTTTTATAACTAAGAATATATTTTTATAAATTTAATTATTAATATTAAAAATATTTAAGAGTATTTTAATTTATAATAAAATAATATATAATAGTTTTTTCCGGCTTTATAAATATTAAAAATCGACTTTAATAAAATTAAGTTTTAAAAAAGTTATATAATATAAGATACTTTTAATTATATAATATTTGATTTTATTTTATTTTATATACTATATACGTAAAAAGCTAACTCTATATAAATATATTTTTATATATAGTTTCTTTTAATAGTATATATTAATATATACGTATTTTATTAAGTTAAAAGTATAAAAGTATTTTATAATATATATAAAGCTTTTATTAAAAGTACTTATAGGCTATATATCTAGCCGTATTACTAATTATTTATTAATTATATAGCGTAATACCTAGGTAAGTAGATAGTAAGTTATTTATTTAATTATAGTTATAAATAGTACGTAACGATATTATTAAAATTAGAATTAGAGCTACTTAAAGTTACTCTATTATAGTTTTTAAATCTTTTACCCGTATTATACTAAGTTATAATATAATTAATATATTATAAATAGCCTTAAAGATAATATTAAATACCCTGATATATTAATATACTTTATAAAAGCTTAATACTTTTAAAATAAATATAAAAGACTTATTAAGCTATTAAATAATAAATAAATCCCTTTTCTTTATATTTTTAAATTCTTAAATTACTTATTTTAAATAATATTATTGTTTAATATATAATAAATAGTTTAATAAACTTATTTATAATTCTTAAATTTAATATTATTATTCTAATTTATTTATATTTAAATAGCTTTATTATTAATTTTAATTTTAATTATATTTTTAAAGGCGTATTTTATTTAAAAACTCGATCCTTCTCTTTATATTTTTTAAAAATAGACCCTTTTATTATTTACTCTAATTATATTGAAAATAAATAATATTTATATTAAGTATTTTAAAATATATTTAAATAAATTAAAATTAATAAAGGTTTTATTTTAATTAGAAATTAAGCTATTAATAATAATTTTTTATTAATATTATAATAATAATTACTCGCTTTATAAATACCTAAGTATTTAATAAACCGCTATATAGTGCATAGTTAAGCTATTATATTATTAAAGCTAAACTATATTTATAATAAATAGGCTAAAACGAAAAGAAAGGATTATTATTAAATTGGGTTAATTAAAAATAAAGTTTAGAATAATTACTAAAAATTGAGTAATAAAGCACTTATTATTTAGTAATAATATAATTATTATTTAAAGAGTTTCGCTATTAGGGCAGTACTATTTAGCTATTAGGGTAGTAATCTACTTTTCTAGTTAATAGGAGGCTTTGAGCTTACGCGCGGGCCACTTTCTTTATATATTTATTAGCTACGTTATTTTAAGAAATAATAATCGTACTCCGTACTTAGCTACTTACTTTTAGTATATATAGTTATAATTATCCCTTTAGGGTCCGGCCCGCCTTATTAAGAACTAACTTCGCTCTATAAATAAGCTAATTTATAAGGGTTAATATCGAGTTTTTATTATATATATTACTTAATAAACTTTATAATTAATAATAACTAGCTATACTATATAGCTTAAACTATTATTAATAATATAATATATTAATCGCTTTTAAATAACTAAATACTACCCTTATTTTCTCCTCTTATTTTATTTAATAATAACTTTTTTTAATATTCTTATTTAATATACTCTGCTTATACTCTTTTAAACTCTTAATTATATTATTAAATCTAGGCTTATTTATATTATTATACTATATTAAAAAGGTATTAATAGGGTAGTACTTATTATATATATATATATATATATATATATTTATAAATTAATATTATAAAAATAGTACTTATTAAAATAGTTTTTATAGCTCAGTTATTTAGTATAATAGCTATAAGATCGAATTTTTAATTATTAAGGAAACCCTAGGGGTTAATAAGTTATTAATATCTTAGTATTTTAATAAAATAAGCTTAAATAAGTAGATAGTTTAATAATAATAATAATAATAATAGTAATAGCGATAGTAGTAATAATAAATAATAAAGGAAGCGGTTTTTAATTTTAATAAAAACGAAGTAACGAATATATAATATATATATATATATAATAAAATATACGTTAATAAGGTTAGTATTATTATTAATAATAATAATAAGGGTATCTCTAATACTACTATTATAAATTACTATTATTTAAAAAATAATAAACTTAACTAAGTATAAGGCTTGTAAGTCTAACGAGATAGTAGGAGTATTTACTAATATTATATATTAATACCGTATTCCCTCGATAGAGTAATTTACTAGGGCCGTACTATATATTATGTATTAAAGAAAACTAAGTATATTGCGCTCCGTACTTAATTATTAACTAAAACTCCTAACTTTTTATTACTTATTTATAGGATAAGCTTTACTTATTCTAACGCGCATAGGACCTCTTAGTACTAGCCTATATAAGTAACTAAATCCCGTATTATATACTCCTTTTTATTAAGGGTTAAGGGACCCCTTATATAGTCCCTTATATTTATAATATAGCCCGTATTAAAAGGATTTTTAGCCCGTAAAATATAATTTTTAAACTAGCGTTAATATACTAAATTTTAATATCCGTATTAGCCTAGTTATTTATAATATTTATATTATTACTTAATTAAATTTTATATTATTAAAAAGTATTATACTACTTTTTAAGTATATTTACGTTAACTATAATAGCTAGGGTATCGAGGGGGCCTAAAAATCTATTAAGCCCTAAAAGGGGGGACCTATTAAAGGGCATCTTTAGTCCTAGCCCGCTAGCTATTAATTATATACTAGGAGAGTAGTAGTTTATATATATTAATAGGTTTATTTAATAAGTTTATTTAGTAAATTTATTTAGTTTAAATAGAGCTTTAAGTAATATTAAAAATAATAAAAATAAAAAGAATTTTTACGAGCTCTAAAAAGTAATAAATATTAGCTTTTTTAGCCTTTTCTTTAAAAACCTCTACGTTATTATTAAAGTTTAGAACCTCTATAGCTAAAGGTTACCTCTAATCTTTATAACTAACTTTTATTATTAACCTTTTTAACTAGTACCGCTACGTAAATATATTACTTAGCTTATCGTTAATAAGTAACTAAAAGGTATAGCTTACTTATCCTAAATTAAATAATAGTTTTCGTATTAAAATTACTATATTACGTTAAGTACGTATTTAGAATATATTATATATATTATATAATTAAAAAGTATACCGTATTATATAATTTCCTTTAAAAACGTAATCCCGTTAAAGTCGATTTTTTATACCTATAAAGCCGAAAAAAAACTACTATATATTAATACTATATAACTAATATTAAGAACCGCCCGAGCAGCTAGTAAAAGTAGAAATACAAAATAAATAAGGGCTTATAAAATAACCGCGCGCTTAATATTACTATTAATTTATAATTATAAACTTTATAAAAGAAAAACTAAAAAAATAAAAAAATTATAAAAAATAGTTTAACGAGATAATAAGAGTATTTATTAATATTATATATTAATATTATATAACTAATATTAAGAACTACCTAAGTAGCTAGTAAAAGTAAAATATAAAATAAATAGTTATAATTACTTATAGTTATAATTACTTATAGTTATAATTACTTATAGTTATAATTACTTATAGTTATAATTACTTATAAAAGGTCGTATTTATTTCTAGCTATACCTACTTATAAGCATAATTAATTATTAATAGCGCCCGGTTTTATATTATATAATTATAATAATTAAGTAATTACGACCGTAGGTAATTATAACCGTAAGTAATTAAGTAGTGCGTGCCTTATATAAGTACGGAATTAGTAATAAGTACGTGCGCCTAGTAGCCTATAAGTAGGCATAATAGAGCTATTAAATTTAAAGCTCTGCTTAAGCGTTTTAATTAATTAGAAAAGTAGATTATTACCCTAATAACTAAATAGTACTACTCTAATAGCAAAACTCTATTTAAAAAATTAAAAAATTAGCTATTATTAATATATAACTTTAAAATATTATTAATGAAATAATAATAAGTAAGTAAGCTATTATAAGAAAATAATTACGCTTTTATTAATAATTACTCTTAGTAAATTATTATAATAGCTAGAGACCTTAATTATATAATATATAAGATATTCTAATGCGAGGGCTCACAAGGTAGCCGCGCGCCTAATATTGCCGTTAATATATCCAGCCGTAGTTATAAACTTTATAAGAGGGAAAGTTCAAAAGGTAAAAGAAAATCATAAAAAATAGTCTAATAAAATAGTAGGAGTATCTACTAATACTATATATTAATACTATATAACCGATATTAAGAACCGCCCGAGCAGCTAGCAAAGATAGAAATACAAAACAAATAAGATATTCTAAGTATACGTTTAATATAATATAGTAGTTTTAATATAAAAACTATTATTTAATTTAAAAATAATAATAAAATAATATAACTAAGGGCTCTTAGTTATTATAATAATTTATTAAGAGTTATTATTAATAAAAATATAACTAATTTTTATAATAGCCCGCTTATTTATTACTATTTTATAAAGAACTTTTAAAATTATATATTAATAATAGCTAACTTTTAACTTTTAAATAATAATTATATTATTATTAAGTATTAAGTACTTTATAACTTAATTTTTAGTAATTACTTTTATTAATAGTTTTTAATTAAATCTAAAGAGCTATTATTATTTATAAACTTTACTTTTAATTAATCTAATTTAATAATAATTCTTTATTTTTATTTTAGTTCTGTTTATTATTAATGTAACTTAACCTTGATATTATAATAATAGCTTAATTATATATTTTATACTAATTTATTAAAGAATAAGGGCTTATTTTATTTAAGCTACGTATAATAAGTTAGTTATATTATAATTTAATATAACGTAAGCTAAAAGGTTTAAAAACTACGATAATATAAGCTTAAATAGCTTTGATTTTAATTATATTATTATTATAATCGTAATTAGTTACTTTAATATATTACTTATAATTATAATTAAGTAAATAACAAATAACTTTTATAAACTATTTACCTATCTAAATATTATAAAATATAATTTTTAAAAATAAATAGCTAATAATAAAATAATATATATAATAGTTTTTTCGGCTTTATAAGTATAAAAATTTCACTTTAACGGGATTATATTCTTAAAAGAAATTATATAATATAATATATTTTTAATTATATAATATATATAATATACTTCAAGTATACGCTTAATATAATATAATAACTTTAATATGAAAACTATTATTTAATTTAAAATAAGTAAGCTACCCTATAGTAATATTAACTAAAAAGATTAATAATAAAGGTTAGTTATAAAAATTAAAAGCGGCCTTTAACTATAGAGGTTCTAAACTTTAATAATAATATAGAGGTTTTTAAAAAGAGCTTGAAAAGTTAATATTTATTACTTTTTATTATATTAAAACTTATAAAAATTTTATTTTTACTGTTTTTAATATTATTATTTAAAATTACTCTCTATTTAAATTAAATAAATTTACTAGATAAACTTATTAAATAAACTTACTAATATATTAACTACTATTTTATTAAAAATACCCTCAATAAGTCCCCTTTAGGACTTAATAAATTTTTAAGTCTTTTAATATTTTAATTACTTTAATTAACATAAATATATTTAAAAATAATATAATATTATTTAATAATATAGAATTTAGCTAAATAATAATATCAATATTATAAATAACTAGGTTAATATAAATATTAAAATTTAATATATTAATGTTAGTTTAAAAATTATATTTTATAGAACTAAAAATCTTTTAATATAAGCTATATTATAAATATAAAAGATTATATAAAAGTCCTTTAACTTTTAGTAAAAGAAGTATATAATATAAAATTTAGTTATTTATATAAGTTAGTATTAATAAGTATTATATACATTAAAGTAAGTAAAGCTCGCCCTATAAATAGCTAAAACTTATGAGGATTTCGTATAATAAAAGGTTAGGAGCTATTAATAAAGGGAAATAATAGTTAAATTAGTTAACTATTATTATAATTTTAATTAGTAATTAAGTACAGCGTAATATACTTAGTTTTCTCTAATACGTAATATATAGTATGGCCTTAGTAAATTACTTTATTAAGAAGGTAAAATAATATATATAAACGTGTTTTTTATAAAAGCTCTATATATATTATAAAGTATTATTATATTTTTAATTCAATAAGATTTATATATACTAATATATATTATTATTAAAAACTATATATAGAGGTATATTTATATAAAATAAGCTTTTTTATATATATAATATATAAAGTAAAATAAAACTATATAGATTTAGTTTAAGTAATAATATATCTTATTAAAGGATGAAGATCTACACTAAATGTGAACCACCCAGAGTGACAAGGGTTAGACAGCTGGGCTGACGTAGCACTCTATTTGGAGGCGTGCCAAGTGCTAGGATGAATCAAGAAATGAACGCCGGACGCGGGGTGCAACCAATTACACAGGCTCAAATTCAACTAGTACGGGGCCAAGAATCTTGGTCCCTGTTCTCTTATCATTGTGTCGGCTCTGTCGCGATACGACATGCAAGGGGATTCCGTGTTATGTGCCAGGCAACGTCGGTGTTGGTGCCGTTGCCAAACTACTTTGCCGTGCTTCCCTTCGCTTTACAGGCATGCTTGGCCGGCGTGGAGCTAATCTGTCTCTGGAAGTCTGGACGCGGTTTCTGGAGATACCAATCACTCAGCCCGATAACAGTCGACAAGCCTGTTGTTGCTAGTTGTTTAACAAAATCGACTTCTTTCCCCCCTCATCCTTTCGCTGGTCTTCTCCCTCACTCCTTTCTCCTTCGTTCCGAGAAGGCTGCCAGACGTCACGTGTCGCAACCTTTACATGCTGCTGTGATTAAATCTTTCTAATCTCACCGGTCCTTGGTCCCTTCTCGTGGTTCCTCTTAACGGCTGCGGCCATTCCTTTTCTCATCCGACGCTACCACAATGAAGGAATCGCATACAGAGAAGCACCCGAGCTCCGGCGACGCGATGACCGCCGAGCTCGGTAGCATCCGGAATGTTGACTCCGAAGATAAGATGGGTCACCTGCATCGGAGGCTCAACAATCGCCAAATTCAGCTCATCGCAGCAGGTGGCTCCATTGGAACGGCACTCTTCATCAGCATCGGCGGTGGTCTCGCCAAAGGTGGCCCCGGCAGTTTGCTGATTGCTTATACCGTCTATACCCTAATTCTCGCCCTCGTCAATAACTCTGTTGCTGAGATGAACACCTATATGCCCGTCGCAGGTGGCTTTGTCCGTCTCGCTGGGTATTGGGTTGATGACGCACTTGGGTTTCTCGCCGGATGGAACTTTTTCCTCTACGAAGCCATCTTGATCCCTTTTGAGATTACTGCTCTCAACATCGTCATTTCATTTTGGAGTGACGAGGTAGTTAAACCAGGACCGACAGCGGGGATTTGTGCTGCCGTGATCATTCTTTATGGGTAAGAAGATCATCCTGACTCTCAGGCTCCTCTGCTTCTGTCTCTTATCTCCCGTTTCTGACGGGGGCACCTACTGAAAGTGAAATTGCAATGTGACACTAACAAATGTGCACAGATTGATCAACGTCCTCGCGGTACGGGGTTATGGCGAAGCTGAATTTTGGCTTTCCGGAGGCAAGCTGATATTGATCTTCATGCTTTTCGCTTTCACATTTGTGACTATGGTCGGCGGCAACCCTCAACGTGATGCATACGGCTTCCGTCACTTTACGAACCCTGGCTCGTTTGCAACGTACCTATCGGGCGGCGACCTGGGTCGCTTCGAAGGGTTTCTTGCCGCACTTTTCAGTGCCTCCTTCACCGTCGTCGGTCCTGAATACATCTCCATGGTATCTGCTGAAGCCCAACGCCCAAGCATCTATATCAAATCGGCATTCATTACCGTCTACTACCGGTTCTGTATCTTCTTCGTCATTGGCGCACTGGCTGTTGGCATCGTAGTTCCGTACAATCACCCGACCTTGGTCAATCTCTACTTTGGGGACGGTGGTGGCGGCACTGCTGCGGCTTCTCCGTATGTGATTGCCATGGAGACCCTCGGTATTGGTGTGCTTCCTCACATCGTCAATGCACTCATCCTTACGTCTATCTTCTCGGCTGGCAATACCTACACCTACTGTGCCACTAGAGCGCTCTACTCGCTATCCCTCGAAGGACGAGCGCCTCGTTTCCTTCGCCGCTGTAACAAGAATGGAACTCCCATCTACTGTTTTGCCATTGTCATGCTATTCCCGATGCTATCTTTCCTCCAAGTTAGCAGCAGTTCTGCCGTTGTTATTACGTGGCTAACTGCGCTTATCACGGGAGGCGGGCTGATCAGCTTCATCATCATGTCGATCACGTTTATCAACTATCACAAGGCTTGTGTCACTCAGGGAGTTGACCGCAAAACCCGACCCTACTATGGATATTTCCAGCCTTACGGTGCATATATTGCTTTGGGATTCCAACTACTCATTCTCTTGGTGTACGGTTACTACGCGTTCCGTCCGTGGTCAGTAGAGCTGTTCTTCCAGAGCTACACTATGCAGATCCTAGCTGTCGTTCTGTTTTGTGGATGGAAGCTTTTTAAGAAGACTAGATACATAAGACCTCACGAGGTCGATCTTGTTTGGGAGCGGCCTTTGATCGAAGCCTATGAAGACTCCCTAGTTGATCCACCAGTTGGCTTTTGGACTGAAATGGCGCAAATGGTTGGACTCCGAAGAAACAAGGTAGACTTTCGTTAATCCCTCTATGGCCAAGAGAAGCTGACCTTGTTAGGTTCAATAACTCTCTTTTACAGCAAATCTCATACAAGATACCTTAAGATATTAAGATCCCATATATTCATTCATTCATGCTTCTGCCACCGGCGTGGAAAAGCTTGTAGCACTCTAAACTCATAGTGATTGTCCTGTTCACTATGCGCATGAATTTGCGCTACTGGCCTGCAAGGCCTGATCGGCCGCGAGTCTGGAAAAGAGGATGGCAGGGGATATTGCTCAGATGGAGCACAACCCAGAGAACGCAAGATCCACAGAAAAATGACTGGAATCTAAGAAAGAGAATTGGCATACAAAGAGTGATCATTGCAGTTCTTAAGGACACAGCAGAGCGCTGGCCGGAGAGTCCCACTTTACGTGGCCGTGATGAACTGTATAACAATCTTTATCTGTTGTTAAAAGCCAGTAGATATCCCAAGCAGATTTGAAGAATGCGCAACGTAGCTGCGATTCGAGACTCCCCTATCTGAATCCTTCCAAACCCCGATGTAAATGATGTCTATCTTGAGAGTCACACCCACATTTCCAGGCTTGCTGTAGCACGGCGTGCGCTGTGACTTGCTGCAAAACAAGCATCGAGACTCTGCGCCGCAACGATTATAATTAGAAAGCTGAATTGAGATGAGAAAAAACTAGTGGAGAATCGTTCTCTACATATAAGGTATCGTTCATCGATGACGGCATCTACTGCGTAAGTGAACACGCAGCCGGCGCTGAGTAAAGCTTGCACACTCCTAGACTGTATACGCACCTAGACGGCCCCAGGCGGGATAAACAAAGTGGAGTTGGGGGGCTGGACCCTTGGGGATATCAGAAAGACCAATCGACAAGAAGTACATGGTCACAAAACAAGCCTGTTCGCCAGCTGTCAAGGGGTCTATCTTCTTAATTTCCGCGGTTTGATCAGTGCTAGTCTGTGGATCACATTGGCTTTATGACCTTCCGTTTCCGTCCCCGAACTGCTACGCAAGATACTCGATTTGTTATATAGGCTGGCCAGAATTGTTTTAGCGCCATGTCGACTTTAGAGAGCAGGTTGGTGGAAGATAAGGTTATATTATAGCCTGGCGGCGATCCTAGATGGCTCCCCGGAAATACAGTCTTGGAACGGCAGTTGAGCTCGACGCCTGCGGGGAAATGTTTTGAATATGTCAAAATAGAGGGGCCTTTCTCGGGCCAAGTATCTTTATTAGGCGCTCGGTGTCATACTTGCCGGATATTTCAGATCCGGGACCTTTTCCATATGCGTCGAATCACACCATCCAGGGATGCGAAGCGATGCTAGCATTGTCGCCAGTCCACGGCTCCGAAATCTGCAAGCCAGCGTTTCCCTACGAAAAACTAGCTGGGACTCTTGCAATCAAGTCCGAGATGAGAGCCGAGCCCGCGAAACCGAAGAGGTATAAGAAGATGTCATTTCCATTCCTTCGAGTGGCGTTCATAACCACAGAACTTACGAGTCACCCCTCCTTCTTGTAGAGCATAGGTCAACATATACTGCCGATCATTGGAGGGGGCCTTTCTTATAAACTTCCCGCCATGAAGCTGTCTTTTCTCATAACAGCTGCAACTTACGCTGCAGCTGTGCAGAGCGCAATCACTTGGAGCCTCGAGAAGGCCGCAAGCCCTACGGCGGATCAGACAGACGCCTATAACAAAATCGAAGCTGCAATGCGTCTTGCTGTTGCCCGTCATTCTCGCCTCGGAAGCGCAACAAAGAATTTGCGCGTTTACTATACTCCTGGCGTACCAACTGCGGAGGCAAATTACAACGGCGACGTCAGATTCGGCTCAAACCGAGCATATATGAATGAGAGAACGGCACTCCATGAGGTCTCTCATACTCTGGGAGTTGGCCAAACTGCTGCGTTCGATAGGAAGTGCGCTGCTGGAGATTGGGCCACTGCGCTGCCACTGCTACGGTCGTGGGATGGCTCAGGAGCAATTATCAATTGTGGCGGTTCGCACATCTGGCCTTATGGGCTAAACTACGATACTGAGTGGAGTGAGACAAACGCCAACCGCCATGTCCAACTCATAAATGCTATGATACGGGATGGCATGTAGCTGGTGTTAGCGCATTTGACGAAGGAGTTTGGTATAAGCTGTTGAAGACATTCTTGTCTGCAGCTATCGTCTTCTTCGCCGACGCATCTTGTATCACTGGACTTCTCTGGGGCTTGGTATGAGACCCAAGTGATATTAGAATCAAATGACCGAATATTCCAATTATTTACTCGATTGAAAATGAGCTATGGCTATGGGTTAGCAGCATTTAATAAGTGCAATCAAGCGTTCCAAGGCACTGAAAAGTAGATCAATGAAGTCTTCATTCTCTGTATTAGCATTTTTCAAATCACCTAGTCACGAACAAAAGTAGAATAAGAGAGAAGTCTCCCATGGATAACGGGAATAAGCTGCATCAGCCCTTGAACCTAATGTATACTTCTAGCTTTTCTAGTTCCAACATTTGCTTTGCCTATCGCGACATGAGAAAAGTGTACAAAAAAGCCATCGATATACTCCAACAAATCACTATTCAGATCCATCACCGTGTATGGTGTGCAGATTACTAGGCCGTAAACCCCATTTAGAGTGTAAGTTCTAACCATCATGTACACTTCCTCCGAAATACCTCATGTTATGCAATCTTCTGCCTCGTCCCAGACCCCAGACAGTCAAATGTCCTACTTACATGATGAGCAAACGAGCTTCAGGGAGCTGAGAAGCCCAGCTAAGTCCAAAGAGCTGACGATCCCAGATTCTTTCTAAATGATTAAGAGCCTTTAAGATGTTCTCAAAACGACTCTTCTGGTGACATTCACGTAGAGTGATTCTAAAAAAGTCCTTGTGCTCATCCGTCGCGCACCCTGAAGCTGCCACAAAGAATGCCCAAATCAACACTTCTCTTCCTGGTGAGTTAGCGGGGAATGATTGGAAAGTTTCGATGAACAACTGTACTCTCTCGACAGATTTCTTCATGTGATTATCAAGACTGATAACTGCAGATTGTGATATCATCACATTAGTACCTGCTCTGTGGAGATAGATATCGTGCGACTGCTGCACTAGATTCATAATGCGCGACACTGTATCCGAATGCTCTGGTTGCTGCTGCGAGCAGTATTTCATGCATTCGAATGCTCTGGTGACTTGCTTTTGGGAAGATAAAGTCAGAATGCCACTATTCTCGCTCAGAAGAGGAGCTGAGTATACGCGTAATCTGCCAGGCCACAGATTAGTTCACCGTTCAAAAGGGGAACTTCCGGCTGTGCCACTGAGCACCTGGTCTCCTCACCCTACCACGAGATAATCGAATCTAAGTCACTTACTTGTAAACCTGGCGCATTATAAAGGCTGAAAGCTCGTCGTCTCCCAGACTGTCTTCTCCACCAATAGTTGCCAGTGCAGATTCTAGCAGACGGAACAACATTGGGAAGTCATCCGATCCTGTCACCATGGCGGAAACAAGTAGGACAAGTATGACGACTAATGTGCGAATCTTACTTGAACGATCGTGGGCTTCGAGGTCACGTCGTCTTCCTAGATCATGAATCGTTGTTGCGTATAGCTGCATCGGAACCACCGACGTGTTGTGTAGCCTTGACCTTGTGACCTGATGCGTCTTACCCCCAGACTCGGCACTTTGTCTTTGATTACTTAAATGAAACAAAGAAACGGCGAGCACGGATTTCAAGACTAAGGGATCCATATGAGCGATAGGCAGAACAAGGTGGCGCCAGCCGTTATGGTGACCATCCGCGGCCACCATTTCTACCGCAATGTGGGCTGAGACTGAAGATGTGATTGTTAGCAGCGCGTTATAGTGTGCAGAAAGAATATCTTGTCATTACAATACGAAAGCAAGTGAGTCTCCCAAGGGGTCAAGTTGCTTGAGGTTGGTTGATAAGTGAAACAGTGGGTGGCAGCGACTACCATCTCGGACCATAAGGTAGCAGGCCTATTTAAACTCTCGAGGATGATATTACAAACGGTGGTTTCATGCCGTACGGAGGGCACAATAGTAGCACCGTCGGACTCTATGTGCTCTGGCCCAGCTGAATTTGTGCACATCATTAGCTGGTGGAAATAATCCAGAGTAGACGGTAGATGTTCCCAGACCTTGTGCCATGCCGAGCGGACCTGAAGTCGGTGGGAAGTGCCTTTTTCTTGTTGTGCGCCAAATTTGTACACTATGGCAACCCCGTTCATGGTCTCTTGGTCTTTTGAGTGGTTACTTCCCAATATTCTTAGCCAACGGCATTTCGTATTTACACTTACTGTTCGTAGGCTTGCTGAACGGTTTTGCCTCTCCAAAAACCTCGCGAAGCCGCCCCATCGCTGAATCGATATCGAACCCCTAGACCACTGCACTTTAACCCTTTCCTGGAGCACTTCTCACATTCAGGCTCCGCGCGATCGCAGCTGATCCGACGCTTCGAGCATTCGTAGCAACCTGCCGCCGATATCGATCAGTTTCGAGAAGCTAGATGGGCATCATAAGACGGCGAATCTGGAAGAAGTACCGACCTCTTATCTTAGGTCGATAGGGCCGGGGCTTGCGGGACACCATTCTGGATTAGGTTGCTCAACTAAAGCATTGTTGAGGCTAAGTCATGCAGAGGCGAGATAGAAATAAATCATTCGTAGAATCTTAGACATGAATAGTCTCATTAAGTGTTGCCGAAGTGGCAATTTCTTCTCTCGAAATCAGTTGTTTGGGGGGGGGGACTGTGTTGGGCGGCTTCATGTCCGATGTTTCTTGGGACTCAACGCCACTCGCCCGATTCAACGAGACCCGAGATCACAGGCTAGTCCTAAAAAAGGAGGTTAAGTGAGACCAACGTTAGGAATCAAAGGGAACCCACCCGCCCGCATGAGAATCGATTCCGTAATAATTACCCCGCACCTTCTCATAACCGAACTTTAGGAGATTTTCCTAGTCGAAGGACGCCGGAAACATGCCAGTTTAGGTCCACGAGACGACCTAAAGATCTGTATGAGATCCTTCACCACGACTGTAGATGGCTAAGTAGCATTTTGCATGTCGCCTTATGCCGCTAGGTATATCTCCTGAGCGATGGCCACAATTTAGTCGGGCTATAAATCAACGGTAGGAGATCAAGTGCTTATTCCAATAGTCAGACTATGGGTGCCTACTTGGTTGATCGGTGTGCTGGGTGTCCCGATTTCCCCTCTTGTCGAGACTACATGTCTCTGCACCAGGCGATAGACGGAAGCAGAACCCTATAAATGTGAGTGCCAGAAAATTGCATGAGATGAGATGAGATGAGCGGTTCCGTGTTCTAGGTACACTGGGCCAATGTCACCCACTATCAGTGGCTATATTGATAAGAGCCGTACGCGGTGATATCGTATCAAGTCGATTCCCTGTGTAGCCAAGCGTTTATTATGATCCTAGATCATCATGTCAAATCTGACGTTCGGGGATGAGACTGAAAAAAGACTTATGAGATCTGTTAGACATAGCACTATCGCTAGTAAATCGAAAGCGACGCTCATGTGCAATGGTTCACGCGCTTTTCGAACCCATAATTTGATTGGTCGTATTCGTTACGAGTGGAAGGTGAAATGATCAGAGATTCAGCTGGCGTGCTTCCCCATTCATGTCGCTGTTGGAAACTGACTGCATGTCCCCTTTGGCGAAACATTACATAAAAGTCTCAGCTAAATTCTAGCCATTTCCCAACATGACAGCCGCATCAAGTGCAAGGTGTATCATAGCGTACATGGCTTCTGGCTGAAGCAATGATGGTATTGCCTGGCGTAATTCGAAAGGCTGATCGAGGCGCTACGGCATATTCAACAGTGCGAACACAACAGCTTATTGTGCTCCTACAGCACGCGAGACTAAGTGAATACGCCATTTTTATTGACCCTAAAATAACGAAATCTCTCGTCAGTATGTATGGGTTCAGTTGGTAATAGAACTGGGGGAACGGTAAAGTCTAAAATAAAAAGAAGAAAAGAGACGAAGTGAAGTGATTAAGTGCTTCTCAACGGCCACCCTTGTCTAGGTATTATCTACTAAGATCCACTTGTGATAGAGAGCAAGAGAGAGGAGTGTTTGGATTATTTGCTCAAGAAAATTGACAAAATGCAAAACAAAGTGCATGCGGCACAGGCAGACAGCGGCATGATCTCTGGTTTAGTAATATTTCTCTGGGGTGACCACCTGATGGCCGCATCAAAAGCTAAGCTTATTAATGCGCACACTAATGTGTGATCTGCTCATCTAAGCTGCTAATTTAAATTGTTAATCTAGCCTGCTATAATGATGACTTTGGTACCCAGGTACAATCGCATTACTACTTATCCATGCTCTATGTGTGAGGTTCTACTGTTGCCCGAAATCCTATGCGTTAAACTTGCGCTAAGGTGGGAAGGAGACCATCGTTTACTAAAGTAAGGTATTACTGTCGATGCCATTGGCCCCTGCCCTGTGCAAGAGGTCTTGGGGGCGAAAGTAGCTCCGCTTGAGAAACTCGAGAACATATTGTCGACCTTATACATGAGTGCTGTGACTATAGAGGTGTTCAAAATCGTAGGCTGCCGTCTCCCGTCAGTAGCCAGCAGGAACGACGGCCCACCAACCCGGCTGCGATGTTCGAAGAACTGTTTTCTCACAGGGATGTACAGAGAAAGAAGGTAGGATACGAGTTGTCTCTGTATGCCTCGTAATCGACTCAAGGCTGGCTGGATTCGCGTGTGAGAGGTCTTCCGAGTGTTGGTATGTCATATGAACATTCAGAACCCCAAACAGCCGAGCTCATGTGCTCTCCGTAGCCATCCGTGATCTACGCAGGCACCGCATGAGAATTGACAGTGAAATACGGTGACCGGTCGAGTTCGGTATCAAACTCGTCGCCTCCGAACCTTGGCGCATATCAACACACACTGGCTTGGGATGAAGAAATGCCAAGCCAAGTCTGCATCATGTCTTCTGCTATCCTCTAGATGCGGAGTATCCGGGTAGATCTCTGAGGCCATGGGGACCAGACCCTATAGCTAGCTACGGGCAGACATTGGCTTCGGGTCTCCGTGACACCTCTCGTACATTGCAAATGTTCGGCGTATGAATACAGAACTGGATTCGATGCACCCATGGCAGTCTCGAGAGTTTCTTTGATCCTGCAATTGGCCACCGCCTGAATGTTTCTGCCAGTGCACCCTCAAAGAGCCAGCGTCGTGGGACGCCTTATGAGCCAAGTGGATGATGGAGGATAACGAATAATAGAGTCGACGGGGTGGCAAGACCTGTCACTCATGCTGCCCTGACCGAGTCCTTATAGTCAGGTTGCCGGAGATCGCCGGACAAGAACTTGCAGAGACCGGATAACCGTATTAGGCTGCTAACTTGATCTTGGATCCAGCTAAGACCAGTCTCCAGGTGTTGAAAGCCGTCTTTCGGAAACGCTCGGCTTACGATAGATCATGCCGGAATAGACCCCATCTAGATCCGCTAAGTGGGCGTTCTAGCTGACTGGCCGACGACCGCCAGATACGCCACTCAAATGTGCGCGTTGACCGACTGGCCCAGAGAAGGTAGAGGCCAAGAGAAGAGGCAAGAAAGGCCTTTCAATGTAGATGACGTCACGAGAATGAGTTGTCTTGCTGTCTCACCCGGCGGCAGACTCGCTGCCGTGCCCATCCCCATTTGACTGGAGAGAGGGGACGTTAGATTTCGGTCGGCGGCCTCTCTTAACCTTGGGACGTTGCGCATTCCCCAAGGCATCATTTGGTGAAGCTTCCCGAGTACTAAGAATCATATTAGCTACATGTAGGCGCCCGGACAGAAACATGTATCGCGAACGACTTACTCCTTATCCTTCAATCTTCGGCGTTTGATCATCTGCAGAGCCTCCTTACGCATGTTACACGAAAAATGCTCATTGAAATCGAGGGTGATGAGTTCCCACATGCAATGGCGTTTGGTGTGTCGGTAATGATCAAGGAGGAAGAAGAGATACTCTTCCTGATCCTGGCGTCTGGCGTTGGCACTAACGCTGGGCACGGAACGGTCCGACGCCTGTTGGGTGCTGGCATGACTCGGAGAAATATAGCCCAAGCAATGGATGCCCATGCGTGAGCAGTTTTGGCCTGTCGAACTTGTCAGACGGAGACTCGGACCACGAAAGCCATTGATCGACAAATAGACGCGACTAATTCAGCGAGGTACAAACTTACATGAGGGACGCCCCTCATCACAAGGCATCTTACGAATTTGACAGGTCTTGCAGCCGGGCTCCGCGTGCTGGGGTTGAGAGGTTTGCAATTGAGGCCTCGTAGTCATGACGACGTGAGAAGGATTCGGGCGAGCGACAAATGTCAGGGGCTCCATGGAATCCGACGTTGGAGAGGCGGGCATGGAATTCGAGGCGGGAGGGTTAAGTACATCAGCAAGATGGGGGGGCGTAGGGGGGTGACTCGAGCGCGACGAGGACATGTTCACATCGTCATCCGGGTCGCACAGCACATTCTGAAGGTCCATGACGGAACAGCGGCTGGGCTTGGGATCGGAACGCGGGGTAAGAGTGGCATAGCCATGGCTGGCGTTGCTAATGAAGCTTGAATTACTGTGATTTCTGTCGTGGTTGCTGCCGCCGAGGACGCCGAAGGTGGCGGGATGCGAGGGTGTTGGCGAGGGCGATGGAGGAAATCTGAGCGCGTCATGACGGGAGGCTGCAGCGGCTGCAGCGGGAGGACCCGGCGTGGGAACCGAAGACACACCCGGCGGCGGAGCCGGAGCTGGACCGGCAGCCAAGCGGCGGTAGTAGGTTGGCGGCGGCGGATGGTTGACAGAGAAGGAATAAGGTTCGAGGCGGCCGGTAGCATGGGCGGTGTCATGGCGCGACGGGCGAGCCAGCGACAACGACATGGACGGGACTGAGGGCGGAGGAAGTGGAGGCGGATGAGCAGGAGGAGGCTGAAGAGTCTCTGAGGGCGAAGAAACAACAGCAGCACCAGCAGCACCAGCCGCGGCAACGACCGGCCGGTTGTCGGCTGCGACGGTGACGGCGACGGCGACGGCGTTGGCGTTGGTGTTGGCGGGCATCCGCATCGTGTCTCACTTCCAGTTCCAACAGTCCACGTCCGCGTCCACACACTGCACACTTCCGCCGGGTGCGCGAGCGGGCGAGTAAGGGGAAAACCCAAGGAGGCGGAGACGAGACGGGATGGCGTTTGACACGTGGAGGAGGCTCCAACTTTCAGCCTCTTCCAAGCAAGGCGAAGCAAAGGCAGAGCAGAGCAGAGCAGAGCAAAGCAGAGCAGAGCAAAGCAAAGCAGAGCAGAGCAAAGCAGAGCAAAGCAACCATAATTACCTTGCTATATTCGTACCCGTACGTACTCCGTACAGTAATTAAGCTAAGGCATCCGTAAGCTAAGCGCCCACTCACTCCTTTCGCATGAGCCTGGCTGCGCTCGCTTGGCTTCGCCTCGCCTCGCCTCCTCTCCAAGTCCAGTCTCCTCTCCTCTTCTCTCTTGTTCCTTCTCTCTCTCTCTCTCTCTCTCTCTCCCTCTCTCTCTCTCTCCTCTCCATGTGTCTTTCCTCAGCGGTAACCAGTTGCCAGGACTGGACTGGACTGGACTGGACTGAATTGGATTGGACTGGGCTGGACTGGACTGGAGCAATAGACGGAGACATGGGCTTGTCGAATGTGGGCTCGAGGATAGGCTAGGGCCGGAGACTGTGACGAGGGGCGGAGCACCATCAATCACCAACACCACCACTACCACCACCGCCAGTTGGCAGTTACCTTGGATATGGGCCAGTGCTCTTTCGAATAGATCAGAGACGGTGAAAACCCTGGGCTATGGGCATCTTTCCAAGATGTGCTTCAGTTTCCGTAACCTGTGAGCCCCGAGACTCCAGTCTGTATCTGTACGTACCATTCACTACTGGCTCTCCGTACAAATAAAGCAGTTTTGACTCTTGTGCCTTGTTTGGCGGCTACCATAGTTAGTAATGGCGTGAGTACTCCGTAGGTAGCTGAAGCTGGACAAGAAGAAATGACATGGGTGATGGGGAGGGATGATGCAGCGTGGCATGACGGCTCACGGCGGTCTGGACGCGTCCTTCTCCATCTGTCTGCTCCCCTACACGAGGTACGTACAGCAGAAAGACCCACTCTCGGTCCTAACGTCAGGGATTTCCCCCAATCAAAGCCCGGGCGGTTACAAGCCACCCATCCTGCTGACGAAAACGACTCCTCATTGGCTCCCCTGATTCGGTCCATTTCGGCCAGGTCCGCTCAACGGCTAATTTGCGGCTTCCTGCCGTTGTCACACGGTGCAGCCTGATGAGAAGCCTCGAGGCACCGTGGCACCGTTCCTACCTACCGTAAGTATGTACGGAGTAGGCATGTGCTCCGTGCCTTCCTTAGGTACCTAGGTACCATACCGTTCTGCTTTGTGGCGGTAGGTACGTAGCTGGGGGGTGCCTTAGGTACAGTAGACGTACCGGTTCCTGCTCTTCTTGTTCCTGTCAGTCTCACTCTCAAGTCTCACTCTCAAATCTCACTCTCAAATCTCACTCTCCACTCCAGTCCCGCCTATGCAGTCCTGGCAATACCCATCTCACCTTGTGCTTGTTGCTCTTTCCCTTCTCTGTATCATTCGGCCCCCTCTCCTCTGTCTCCTCGTTTCCCTCAAGACGCAGAACTTTCAGTCACGTGATTATATACAGTCCTGGGAATGGATACCCCGTACTGGCCCCCTCCTTTCAGCCCACAAAGGCCAGATCGCAGTTGTTTGGTGAAGTAACTTGGCACAAAGACACGTGAACATCTTTTTGAAAGAAAGCCCAGCCTTCTCTTCCAAAGGATGATTCTTGCCCATGGGGTTTTTAGTTCGCTCTCTACGAATAGTGGATGAAACTTCATCCTTCTCGCATGGGCGTTATCTCCTTGACCCCGTCTCTGAACCAGAATCAAGGGACTGCTCTGCATGCCCCTTGCATCCAACCATGTACCTATTCTCACTTGATTGAGACCAACGGGCATGGTCGCTTTTAAGGTTAAATCCTGCCTGCCCCCCCCTTTGACACAACCACAGGGGAGCCCCGCGTGTTCGCATCATGGTTACCTGATGGAAGAACCTCTTGACACTTTGCCTCCTGATTCTCATGCGGGTCTACTACGCCGTGATCCGCTGGTTAAGGCACATACCTATCGCTAGCAACGGTATCCAGAATCCGCGATTGAAAGCATAAACTTAGGTAGTACCTACCTGAGTGAAGTGAGACAGCGGAATGTAAGAGATTTTTGGTCCTTAAAGCCGAATGCCAGTGGCGGCCTTGAGGCTTACAGTTGTGCAGCTGCCGCCCTCGCTTTTGGTTATGATTGCATGTTTTTCACCAACACTCACGCTGTCAATGACGTGCATTTAGATACCATTTCCAACCACTTTCTGCTACATTACATCGAGATATGCGCTAGGTTTTGCTTCCCGTGCCACAGCTGGGATAGTGTGACAAATGTAAGGTTGTTCGAGACTGCCATCAAATAGTATTACTCCTTCGATGTCCTTACCAATGAACGGAACTTTGACTCAGAACTCATGCCTACAGGACACGACTCGTCAACGATATGGGTTTCTGAGATTCTCATCTACTCGATGTCGACTAACTTTTGACTCATCAGCCACGCAAGAGCCAGAACTCCGCAAAGCAGCGTTCAGAGTCAGGTTTCCCACGTCTAAGTAGAAGAATACTTGAGTGAATCAGAGTCCTTCTTAATGGCCGACAATTCATGCTGAGATCGCAACAACTACAGTCCACCTATAAGTACAAATAGTAGACGAGACTGGGTTCAATGCAGCTAAAACAAAGTGTCGTAGAGAAAAGCAACGTCATGTGATTGAGCGTTCTGAGCCAAAGATAGCTCTGAAAAGGGAGAGAGGATTACATTTTATACGCCACCCTTCTGGCATATGCGAGGATTGATCTTCACCAAAGCCGCAGTTCCTTCACTAGGCTAGCTATGATGTCACGTACAGTATGCCGCCGCTTTTGTCAAATGCTCAGCACCTTTTCTGGGGCAATTCTCTTCTGGAGTTCCTTGCTTTCACTCATTGGAACCCCAGACACAAGTTCCGACACAAGGGTCCCAGCCTCTGCGTCTTGTGATACTGGCTGGGCGAACTTTTCCAGAGTGTGTTTGTCAAGCTAGACATATGTTAGCATGTACCGAGATTTCTGGCCTTTTGTAGTCTGACTCACTTTCCAAACTGCCCACATGTAGCCAAGCATGACGAAGCAGCAAACTATCATGACTATGCACCCTTTCCGCCAGTATGGTGCTTCATCGGCAGAATAGAACACGATGCCCCAGAACGTATAGAGAGTCAAGCTCCCAACATTCATGCAATAAACCGTGACGCTGCGCACAGCGTCATCGCCACTCCTCTGAAGGATGATACTTGCCCACCCAAAAATGAGAGGGTTGACCATATAAGCAGTACCGGAAAGATAAAAAGCAAAGAATGTGCCAGCAAAAGGAATATTGGGTATAATAAGTAGGATGGCACAGACTAGCTGTAGAACGATGGCCAGAGTAGCCATGGGAATGCGGGTGCCAGTTACATCCATATGCCAAGCAGCAAACATGTTCGAAACAATTCCAACAGCTTGAACTCCGAGAGGATACGTGTTGATCTGGCTCTGTGAGAAATGGGACGATTGATACTTGAGCCAAATGAGAAAGTTGTTTTGAACTGCCCAAGCTTCCAAGGTGGCGCACACTGGAGACCAAAATAAGAGAATCCAGCTTATGCAGTGTCAGCTGAATTCAAATTGCAACGGCGCTTACAAAGCTTACAAAGTGGGTGACATAACCAATCGTTTCATCAGTGATAAGGGACTGATACTATGCCCTCCTTCTTTAATAGGCGGGAGGCGGCTGACCGCCAGCTTCTTCTCTGAGTCGCTCAAGTACAATGCCTTGGTGTTCTCTGGAATATCAGGGAAGTAGTAAAAACCGAAGAATGCGACTGGGAGAGTGATAATGCCATCTTGGAGCTAATTAGCGAGCTTCACTTTGACTTTGATAGAAGTATCTTACCGATGAGAAACACCCACTGCCAGCCTCCGAGGCCACCTAGACCACCCATGCCCTTGTAGATGGCCGCCATCATAACTCCAGCGAACATGGTACCGACTTGACCAGAAGCAGTGAAAATGGCCGTTCTCTTTGCAATTTCGCTAGGGGTATACCATGATCCAATGATGTAAATAGTCCCTGCATATGTGCTAGCTTCAGCTAATCCAAGGAAAAACCGAACGACACACAGTTGTGTTACGGTCTTGACTGTAGCGCTGATCATGGTCAACCTTTTTATTGACATCAGCTTCTAATCTTTGAAGTTCCATATGTAAAATTTGAGTGGGATGCTTCAGGTTGTTACTTACGCAGCCCAAACTACAACCATTGACGGAAGCCAGATTCTTGGCGGGACCTTTTGGATAATCAGCCCGTGAGGGATTTGACCAATCGCCATGCTTCCATATTGTTAGTTGCTGTCAGGTGCTATTGCCAATGCCACGTTGTGATGATTTATGAAGTCACACACCCAGCAGTTGTGACCGAAAGAACAGTGTTGTAATCATGTCCTGACATGTGAAGAGCCTCGCGCAGCCCGGCAACCTATCATACAATTAAGTACACCTTGGAGAGATTGAACAGACGTCTTTGACTTACATAGGCATTGGCAAAGGCGGCTCGATCCGTAGGCAAGTAAGTAAAACGGAAGATTATCTCCAAGAATGGTTGACTCGACAAGCGAACGTACCTAGAAAGTTGAAAAAATAACTTAGACAACAGTATGTCTGTTCGGAAGATCAGCAGGCAATCGAAGGCAAGCAGGCAAGCTTTCTAGCAAATACCAAGATAAAAAAGTCTGATAAATCAGTCAGATACAAAGTAGCAGCCAGAGAACGCATGGATCGCGAGATCTGACTTACCAATTTTTTGTACGAGTCGTCTTTCTTCCTTAGTTTTGGCCCCTTCTCCAAGGAAGAAAGCTGCAAGACTGCGGTCAGACTGATTCCAAGGTAAGCTCTGTACCGCAGCGCAACACAACTCACTTCTAACTTTCTCTCCGACGGATCTCTTGTTGGTCGACATGATCTTGGAGGTCTTCATTTTCTGCATTGCTACACTTCAATACTTTTCCTCTGTCGCGTTGACGTGAGTGAAGAATGAAAAGGGAGTCGACCACATCATAACACGACTTGCGTGGGAATCATATGATTAATCGCGTCCCCGCTATATTGGCGATTATCTTGAAAATCTGATAATTCGCCCCGGAAGCATGCTCGCTGGGGTTTCCTCCGAAATATCCTTGCCAAGAACTCGATTCGCAAGCTAACAGAAAATCTTGTTCAGGTAGTGATGGTTGACTTCCTAATCTGGAGAACTTGTCGTATAAGCGACCTTTACCGAGCATCAAATCCTTGTAATCACAGTCGAGTCGGGATAAAGTTGAGTCAGATCCACGGTTTCCACCAGCTGTTTTGACTTATCGGAGAGATGGCCGGGAACACGAGGTTGCCATCTTCGTGCTCAGCGGAGACCATGCAGACGAGCTTCGCGGCCCAAACTTGTTGGTCATCGAGTCATAAACACTACTACCCTGTGTAAATTATAGGAATAGGTTGACAGAAAGTACGTACCATGTATGATAATTGGACATCCTCACCCTGTCTTGCTATTGCTAATTGTTTGGTCAGTGGTGTATGCCTCCAGTCGAATTGACACCAAGAGCAATATAATCGTTGGTGTGAAAGCTGCCACCTTTTCCCTGTGTTCACTATAAGCTCGTTGAGTATCTCCACACCTTCCGAACCTAAAATCTAACTGTGTGGAGTGTCATCCGAATCTCCGAGCCTCCGAGCCGAGCACTGGCGAGTCGACGAACTTGACCGATAGCTGCTCCCTGCTGCTCCCTCATCGAACATGAGCAATGTCTTTGGTTTGTGTCGGGGTCTCTTCAAATGCACCAACACATATACTCTGTAGCTTGTATTTCTTCGAAAAAAAATTCTTTGGGGAATATATTTCGTCAGGTAAGGCGATGCAGCTACTACTGCAGTACGTGACTATCCTCTGCGTTGTATTCGCCACTCATACTACATTATTGCTCATTCGTTTCCTCTGCAGTGAAGCCTGAGTGATCAATGTACTAGGTAGGTATGAGTTGGTGCCACAGCTATGTTACGGGGAAGCTTGATCATGGGCTTAGTAGGTGGAACCGTATGAACCAAACGACCCAACCGGCCGAGTCGCGCCGGGCTGTTGCAATCACCGACAGAAGGCCGCAAACGGCGTTAAACAACGAGACAAACCATCACTGATAGATCCTTGGCTCGGTAGTCCGCCCTAATTTCGTTTGCCTTCCTTTCTCATAGTGCGGGTCGGCGTTTCTTCGACTCCACAGGGATTTTACTAATACTCAGGCACCCCTAACGTGAGTGTTCTATGAATGGCATCGCTGCTTTCGCAAGAACATCAGCTGAATGCCAATATGTGTACCTTAACATCGTGCATCCTGATACCATCTGCAGACTTAGTCAAGTCCACAAACTTTCGTGGTTGGGGGTATAGGGAAGTGATGGTCCACAAGCTGCAACTTAAATTAATCTGGCGCGCAGACAAGCCAGATCGCTACCTAGATTATGATGATTTCAACACGGACTGTTGGAACCACGTTGAAAGATGCATGCAAGTTGCATTGGTTTGATGTATCTTTTTCTAGCCCTGCAGCTGTCCTTTCTGGCAACTTGAATCGAAGTTTGAGAAAGACATAGACAAGGTCAGATGCACTTGTATCAATATGGCTCTTCTCTCTTCGAGTCTCGCCATATTTGGGTTAGGTTAGCTGGGAAAGAGTATAAATCAGGGTATACGGGGTTTTTTTTTACAGTACGATCACCTGCTATATCTTGCTTTGCCCCGTGACTTTGAAGCATACAAACACAGTCGACGCTGTCATGTTCCTTGGGAATGCTCTTACTCAGGCGCCCCACTCTCAGCCTTCGTCAGCGAGTTGCGTATTTACAGCGAACCGCCGTCAATCATCGCGACGCATTGAGCATGAATATACTTAGAGGGAAGGTCAAACCGAGTTCATATTACCGTCTTAGTTCTACAGTCCCGATGAGAAGATTAAGCAATAATCCGCAAGGCAGAGTGACAAAACGGCCCCAAGCTGTGCAACGGCGAGATAATGTATCCCATCAACAAATGTTCCACGTTAAGCTGCTTGAGACGGGCTATGAGAATTCGGCAAACGCCTCACAAGGTCAATCTATAAGGTCAATTCAACAGACTGTTCAATATATTGCATGGTTGTACCCAGACCCCCTTTGGAGGTTCTCAGCATGTGTGGCGATTCGAGCCACTTCACTTCAATGCATTTTCCCCACTACTTTACCAACGAAGGTTAAGTCAAACCCCCCACTTCCCGGCACCCCCCTGTTTCTGGCACCCACAAAAACGCGAAAATCCACCACAACGCAATGCCCACCCCCAACCTCCTTTTATCACAACATTTTCAATTCGAGTCCAAATGGGCTCATTTTTTGCACATACCTTCTTCTATATCTAATGCCTCAATATACCGAAGATCAGCTTCGTCAGGCTCTCGAGGACATCTCAAACGGCAAGAGTCAAAGAGAGCCTCATTGGAGTATGGGATACCACGATCAACCCTCCAACTACGTCTCCAAGGTGGTCAGACTAGGAAAGTGGCTTTGCTGACTGGCAGAGGCTGTCTCCTGACCAGGAGAGTAAGCTGGCACAATGGGTTCGCATTCAGGCTTCGCTGGGCCTCGCACCAACGCACCAACAGGTGAAGGAATTCGCAGAGCGAGTTCTGGCTGCTGCTGGGGATACCAAACCATTAGGAAAAGGCTGGATCTATGCCTTCGTGAGAAGGAACCCTATCATTAAGGTTCAGAGAAGTCGTTCCATCGATTCTAGACGCGTTAATGGGGCATCTACTGAGGTCATTAGGAACTGGTTTAAGTTCCTTGCTATCCCTGAGATCAAGGACATCAAACCAGCCAACAGATATAATATGGATGAGACTGGCATCCTCGAGGGTCAGGAGCTAATGGGTTAGTGCTGGGCATGGCTGAGACGACGTCTGTTCGCAAGAAACAACCTGGGTCGAGGGCATGGGTCTCTATCATTGAGTGTATCTCAGCCTTGGGTAGGGCACTTCGTCCTCTTATCATTTTCAAGGGAAGACGGTCCAACAACAGTGGTTTCCATTACATCTGGTTCCATACGATGGGTGGGAGTTTACAGCAACAGATAATGGCTGGACTACAGACTTAACTGCCATTGAATGGTTAGAGAAGGTGTTTATCCCACAGACTATGCCCGAGGCTGAGGGCGAGGCTCGACTGTTGATTGTGGATGGGCATGGGAGTCATACGACGACAGACTTCATGTGGAATTGCTATATTAACAATATCCATTTACTGTTCTTACCACCACACTCCTCTCATGTCCTCCAGCCACTTGACCAGTCTGTCTTCAGCCCTGTTAAGTCAGCCTATCGGAAGGAGCTCGGTTACTTGTCTCAATGGAACGACTCTACCATTATAGGTAAAGGAACTTCCTGGACTGTTACCAGAAGGCTCGACTTGCTGGTCTATCAGTCTCGAACATCAGAAGTGGTTGGAAGTGGACTGGTCTACACCCTGTAGCGATGGTTAAGCCCCTGATGAACCCTATGGTATTACCTGAGCCTTCTGCTAAGCCCACCACACCCAAACCAACCAGTCGGGGCAAAAGCGATGCCATAATGGTCAACAAACTACCCCTGTTGAGCCATGGGATTCTGCTTCCTCTGCAGTGGTCTGGTCGACACCCAGGAAGCTGGCAGAGCTCAGCGGTCAACTGCACTTATACACCCAACTCGACAATGATACCAGCACTCAACGGCTGCTGTTCAGGAAGGTGAAAAAAGGCTTCACAGAGCAGGCCTGGCAACTGGCAGCTGCCCAGCAGCAGCTGGCTCACCTGAGGGCTCAAGTTACCAACGCTGCAGTTAGGAAGAGGAAGACTGTTCAGATCGATCCCAACACGAAGTTTGCGAACATCAGGGATATCCATCGGGCTCAAATCGAAGCGGGTGAAAAGGAGGTTATTACGGCTGAATCCAGCGACTCTGAATGCCCTAGTGAGGCTGGCAGTTGTATTGTAGTGGGTGTGGTTGAGGATCAATAGTTAATAGTAATGAGGAGGTTGGGTTGTGATCCCATCGTTTTTGTGGGTGCCAGAAACAGGGGGGTGCCAGGAAGTGGGGGGTTTGACTTATCGTGCAAGATATACGTGCAAGGGATAGTAGAGTAGAGTGTAAATTGCATCATAAAGGTTTAGTCCAAGATCTTTCGTTATATCACCTCTATCTTCATATTGGGATCAATCACTTTCAATCAAATGCTGATTATTCTTTGAACATAAGACAAGATGCCGATTCAGAATCGAGATACTAGAAGTCTGTCGAGGAAGTGACAGGGTCGCACACTGATCTGCCGCAAGAACCGCTTCGGCGGCCTACTAAGACCCAATTGCTGGATCCAGCTGTTGCTCTAAAGCTGTAGGCATCGAGAAGTAGACAATTCAAATGAACTGCGTTGTAGGAGAAGCCGACGCAGTTGGAAGATAGATCGCAAAAACTGGCGCACAACTCGATCGTGAGAATGAGAGGCAGCGAGTGTTGATTGGTATTAACGAAGCCCTGAGCATAGACGGGTCCTTCGTAGCTGCAGGCACAGCAGGTAAAGAGAGTCAAAGGAGAGTACGGAAATCTGGATCCGAAGGTGGTGCAAATACTAGGACAGGAGGTGGAAGAGGGCTGGACAACGGAGGACTGAATCAAAGGAGGGTCGTTAGCGTCAATAACGAGGCGAAGGTCTTTAGCGAGACCCCAACTGAAGTCTTGCCTACCGTGGAATTGGGTTGACGATTCTTCGATAGAGGCCGGAGAAGACCCAATAGTAGAGGCGGTGGACGATACGTCGGATGTCGCAGAGAGTTTATTGCTGGAGGTTGCAGATGTCTCATCACTAGAAGAGAAAGAAGGTTGGTCGGTTCCAGTGGCGGTGGGCTCGTCGGTGGTGGTGACGGAAGACTCATCTGTAGACGATGTGAAAGGTTCCTCTGTCACTGTGACAGATGGCTCACCTGTAGTCGTGGCAGGTAGCTCATTGGTAGGGTGGACTGAGGGCTCTACCATTGTGCCGGACGGAATCCCACCAATTTCGGAAATAGATGGCTACTGGGTCAAAGATGTCTCGTTGGGAGTACTTGTAGCAGCTGAGAAGATGTAGGAACTCGAAAAGAGGGCGAAGACGTAACGCGGACAGTCGTAGTGGTGGCATAAGTCCCAACTGCGGTGATGGTAGCAATATCGAGTTTAGTGAAGGCCAAAGTCGTGGTACCCGCAAGGCTGGGTGT